AGAAGTGTCTGTTCATGTCTTCTGCCCATTTTTTGATGTGATTATCTATTTTTTGAGTGTTGAGTTTGAAGAGTTCTTTATAGATCTTGGATATCAGCCCTTTGTCTGTGGTGTCATTTGCAAATATCTTCTTCCATTCTGTAGGTTGCCTCTTTGTTTTGTTGACCGTTTCCTTTACTGTGTTGACTTCTAAGAGCAGTTGTCCTGTGGTACTTGGGATGGAAGACACGCACAGAAAGAGATTCAAACTACCATTTTGCAAATAACATAGAAAATGCAAGTACTTGTTTTTTTAAGTCAGTCCATTTGCAAAAGAATTAAATGACCTAGTAAAATTTTTTCTATAGCAGCTGAGCTATGTCGGCCAGCCAAAAGAGAGGCAGAAGCAGTGGGAGGTGGATATAGATATAAAAATATGCTCAGCTGTCCCCATAGATCCATAGATACATGAATAAATCTATCTATATATCAGCATATCCATATATCTGGCCCTGACTTCACAAGCAGGTCTTCAAGAAGGGCAGGCTGACAAGCCAGAAGCTGTTGTCCCCAGACAGACCCTCTCCTTCTGGGGAAAACCTCAGTTCTGCTCTTAAAACCTTTCAGCAGATTGAATCAGGCACACCCAGATTATCTAGGATCATCTCTCATCCTTAAAGCAAAATGAGTATAGATGTTATAGTCCTACAAAATACCTTCACAGAAACACCCAGGTTAGCGCTTGATCGAATAACTGGGAATTGTGGTCTAGCCAAGTTGACACGGAAAGTCAACATCTAGGAGCTAAGATAATAGAGTCCACATATATTGCTTTCTTGTCAAATCTAATAAGGGATAGAGTTTAGAGAGCCAACATTATAAGTATGTATTATGTTTATAATTTTTAAAAGCCTTTTTGGGGAAGATTTTATTTATTTATTTATTTATTTGAGAGAGAGAAAGAGAGAGAGCACAAGCCGTGGGGGAGAGGTAGAGGGAGAAACAGACTCCCCACTGAGCAGGGAACCCAACACGGGGCTGGATCCCAGGACACTAAGATCATAACCTGAAACAGAGGCGGATGCTTAACTGACTGAACCACCCAGGTGCCCCTTAAAAGTCTTTTAATTTTTTTTTTAACTATAGAAATTGGTGGCATTTATCAGATCTATCTCAAGAGAAAACAATCTGGGAAAAGTACACTGCATAACTGTTTGGTAGTCCCTTCCATTCAATTAGCATTTACTTGTAAGATATCTTTAGCAAATGTGAGACCACAGTTAGTTCATAGCAAATCCCAGGTAAATTTCAGCCTTTTGCGTTATTAGTTAGAACAAGATCCACGTGCCCATGGGAGACAGGCAATGTCAGCACACTGAGTGTGAAAATGTGGGAGCTGGATCTGTCTTCTCAAGCTCTTTCTCTAGAAATATCTGTGCCATTGGCAGTGTTTGAAAACTGGCCCAAAACGTTACCTCAAGGAGTTTTGTGTATGTCTAAGCCAGAGTTCCCCAACCTTCCTCTGTCTTCCCTGCCCCAGCGACTCAGTAAGTGTTTCCTGGTGCTCCTAAGCCAAAGGAAATGTAGTTTTGTTCACCAAATACTTAAGTCCAAACAGTTTTGTTTATTGAATACTTAAGTCCAAGTACTGTAAATAAGAATTAATGTCTTAGCAACGTTATAGTCATTTGAAAAGATAGTTGACATAAATTGAATAGAAAAAATATTTTTATTTCATTCTTAAATAACTACATCTCCTGCTGCACCCAGATGCTCCCATGGTAGTTGTTTTCCTCTCACAGTAACCAAAAACCCGGCTCTGCAAGGATAGGTCATCAGAAGGGGAACACAATCCACAGTAACACCACGAACCGCCTTGAGTTTGTCATTCACAGTGTCCAACAGGTAATGTCAACAGTGTCTTCCTCAGAACTTTAAAATATCCCATTACACCCTCATGAGCTTCTTGTGGCACCCCGGAGTGCCTCGGCACACAGTTTGGGAACTGAAGAGCCTAAGCATTTGTACAAGCACCTGGTTGAATTCTGAATAACATAATTAAAAACCTGCACATTTTCAGGGAACCTGGGTGGCTCAGTTGGTGAAGCGTCCGACACTTGATTTTGGCTCAGGTCGTGATCTCTGGGTCGTGAGATCGAGCCCTGCAGGGGGCTCACGCACTGGGCAAGGACCCTGCTTCAATTCTTTCTCTCTCTCCCTCTGTCTCTCCCCCACTCTAAAAACAAAACAAAACCAAACCTGAACATTTTCAAGATCAGACCTTCTAGATATTTCCCCATTTTGTTTGAGAAAGATGCAAATTGTTTAAGCAGGAAGCCCACAGCGTGATAGCTCCACATTGAAGTCAGAGTCGGAATGGAAGCAGATGAACAAGTACACGCATGTGAAACAACCACCAGAGGATTCGCCCAGCTTCCGCGTGCCTCTTGCCATGCTGACACGGGGAGGCCTTCCGTCTTCGTGCGCTCTTCCTTTTCTGTTATGTTTTTAGTCCATTCCTCGTAGACCAGCGTGAAAGGGATTTAATGTCTTTGTGTCAGGAAAGGCCTATTTATTCTGACAAACTGATCAACCTCCAGGGTGTTCCTCTACCATGAAACTGATTTTATATCTCCACTAGCTAATAAGATGTGAAGCGTTTTCCCTGTCATGCCGAGAGGTCAGACTCGCTTCTGAGGAAGGCGCTAGGCTGAAGTCACCCAGTGAGCGCCTCTCCGCGACTCTCCAGGCTGCGTTTTTCCGAACACGGTGCGTGAGAGCTGACCGATGGCTCTGGGGCAAACACAAAGATAAGCGGACACATTAATTTTTTTTAATTGTTTTTCATTTTAAGAGGAAGCCCTAAGACCCACTTCATTCGCTGTTCACTGGATTAGCCTTTGGCTCAGGGAAAATAAAAAGTGCCAGAAATTAAAACCCGGCGGCGTTGGCGGATTGTGTAAAGACAACCTGACGCACGCCCGTCTCCCACCAACCTGAATCTTTAAATAAAGTGTAAATCCCACAAAATGGGGGCCAGTCTCTTTGCTGTGAGAAGAAATAAGCTACAGCACTCTGAAAATAACGACTACTTAGAAGGCAGATGGCCTCCTACCAACAGAGGCCTTTTCCGTATCAAACACCTGCCTGTCTTGTTCAGTCTGCTCAGAGATTAAGACGATTTTCAGACGAGCTGTTGAAACAAGAAACTGGACATGGGGAAGGAGGGAGACCTGCTTCTAGGGTGAAGACAGCATGAAGGAAAACCACCTGGGATGGGCTGTTCTCTCGGAGGCAAGGAAGGGTGGTGATGTGTTGGGGGATAAAGCTGGAGTTTTCTGGACCCTGTTTGTCTGGGGTTGTATTTATCAGTTCCAAACAGTCTTATCTGAAGCAAAACTGCACTAACTTCCTGGCTCGTGCTGGAGAATATTCATTTGAGAACCTCAAGCCTCTGCAACTTTTTTGCATCTTCCGGATTCTCGCTGCCATTACTCTATCCATTACTGATGGCTGTGTAAAAAACACCCCAAAACTTAGTAATTTTAAACAATAGTCTTGTTCTTGTTTTGCTTTATTTTCTTTTTTCCCAACAAGGCTGTAATTGTGGCAAGCTCCTGTAAAGCTGAGTTTATCTCTCTTCCACCTGGAGTCATCTGGGGCAACTCATCCAGGGGCTGGAAGGTCCCCTGGAAATATGGCTCAGATGCTGGGCTGCCATGTTGGTGCCGGCTGCCTGCTGGTGGCATAGCCAGGCCTCGTGGCCCGCGGCTTGGGTTCCCTGTACACCAGCCCCTCAGGAGCCACTGGCCAGAAAGGAAGCTGCCCGTTTCCTCAAGCCTGGGTCCAGATCGTGGCCTACCATCACCTCCACCATGTGCTGTTGGCCAGGTAGTGAACACGTCCATATTTAAGCAGAAGAGATCTAGAACTCGCCTCTCCTGAGGGGTGTCAGAGGGCAGGGACAGAATGATGACTTCAATCCCCTGGGTCCGCTGAAGGGCACACACCCTTAGCCACACCCTCTGGAGCATGGCTGGTGGTGACGGAGTCAGCCTAGAGGGGCCTCCAGGTTCCCAACGGTGGGAGGAGAGCTTCCTTTTCCAGCAGTCACTTCTGAGCTTTCTTCCCTGAAGATGGAGGGTGGAGAGCAGTGAGTTGCTCCCCAGGTCTCTCCCATTCTGTGGTGTGTGAATTTTGACAGGGGCATCATCCCCAGCTGAGCAGACCCACTCCAGGCCACGTAGCAGCTACCCCTGGCCACCATTACAAAGTACCATGGACTGGGGGGCTCCAACAACAATTATTTTCTCATAGTCCTGCAAGCTAAAAGCCGAGAAGCAAGGTGTCAGCAGGGCTGGTTTCCCCTGAGGTCTCCCTCCTGACTTGCAGATGGCCACCTTCTCGATGTGTCTCCACATGGTCATCTCTCAGTCCATCTCCTCTCATAAAGACACTGGCCACGTAGGATCAGGGCCGACTCTCATGACTTCATTTTACCGTACTTACCTCATCAAAGACCCTATTTCCAAATGCACTCCCATCCTGAGGTACTGGGGGTCAAGACTTCACCATATGAATGCGCAAGGGACACGATTGATTTCTGCTTCCTGTAATAGGCTTTCCATGAAAAACTAAGTCTATTAACACGAACTTATAAATCCTCTGTGTGTGTAAACAGATCTAGGATGTGAAATCCTTGAATAACATTGTTTTCCTCATATCCTAACACCAGTAACACTCTACGACTGTCTCTCCTGCCAGACTGGAAACATCATAAAGATAGGAAATATGACTCAGCCATCTTTGGAACCCTGCTGTAGGGCTTGGAACATTGTTTAGTAAAGAGCGAACAATGTCATTGAAATATAACTTCGTTTCTCTTTGCAAAAAGTCCTTTGGCACAGAAAAATGTCACACAAGTCAGAGGAATGGCTGTAGTGAGCTTGGAGAAGGAAAAACATGTGAGGTCCAGGGGCATCCGGCAGACCCATCCTTGACGCGTGTGTGTTCTTCCGCAGTTCGTCTTCTGCCGGGACTGTAAGGAGGCGTACCATGAAGGTGAATGCGGCACCCTCTTTGAAGCCTCAGGAGCAGTTACTCAGGTAGGGTGCCCCCTCCTCCACAAAACAGGGCTCGGGATGTGGGTGCGAGACAAGAGCTGTTTCCTGAAGGTCAAAGGGTTCCAATCTAAAAAACAAAAAAATCAAAAACAAAACAAACAAACAAAAAACAAAATTAGCCTAGTAGCCTACAGCCCCAGGGAATGGGGCACTGGCTGTCCCACCCCAACGATCCTCCCAGAATGACCCACCTCCTCAGGGTAGGGCTGTAGATGGCCACTGGGTTATGCCCATGCTTTCCCCAGGGGTATATGGAATAGGTAAAAGGAACATAGCATGAGCAGAGGAGTCTTTAGAGGAGAGAGAAAACAATGTAACAATTTCTGAATCAGGTCAATCAATTTTAACCCCACATTTATAGTTTTTTTCAAAAGTGCCTTGTGTAAAATCATTGGTGAAACCTCCTCCATGAATGATGTGCCTAGAAGTATTACATAATGCGAGGATATTACCGTTCTTTAGCAATATCATCAAGTACGCTAAATTGTATTTCAGTCTTGTTTAGGTAAAGAGCTGTTTACTGCACCTTACTCTCCAATGTACTACATCAGGCTTAGGGAAATGCAAATACATTTTCTTTTATTTATTAATTATGATCAACCAAACCTTAGAGGAAAGGAGTAAAAATTTCAGCACAGTTGATGAATTTGCTCATTATTTTTCCACTGATAGAGATGTTAACAAGATTTTAAATATCCAGTCTACCCAGATAAATCTTTCAGTTAACTTTATTGACAGGAGCCTCATAAATAGACGTAGAAATTTCAGAGCATTTTAATTTTACAGTAGAGAATTTAATATATCTGAGTGTTCTAAAAGCAGAGTATAAAGAAGTATATCTTTTTAAGATACTCTGTGGACTTATTTACTAATATTAACATAAGCAAATAAACATAACTAGTGAATTCAGGTCTTCTCATCAGCTTCTAAGATGTTGGCCATGAGAATATTGGGAGACAGATTTGAATTGCCATTTCTGCAACAGAGGCAGCAAATGCTCTTTCTGGTGATTTTATTTTATCCCAGTGGCATTCAAATACAAGCTCACTGCATGCTGATGTCAGGAATAACATTAACCCCGAGATGCCCCTGCCTCAGGACCACTGTATCCCAGAAGGGCTAGGCTAGACCGAGAAATGAAGCTGGTCTAGCAACTTACATCCATACACTCTTAGGACCACAAACATGGGCAAAGGCTTCCAAGAAGTGATACCTTAATGTCTATTTGAAAACAGTAGCCATAAGGTGAAGGAGAAAATTCCTTAACCTTGAAGTTGTCCAAGTGCCTAACCTACCTGATAATCCCCTTCCTTATTCATTCAAAAAGAACTAACAAACCTCGGTGTTAAAGATTGAGGTAACTCCCCAGAATTTTTTGAAGCTATTAAAACCTTATTGTTCAACTCAGGAAAGTAGGAGAAAGAAAGTTAGAGCTGGCCTTAAGCAGAGGTGACCAGGATCCAGGGGCTTGTTTCTGCAAAGACCACCAATTGGCAAACAAACATTTGTCTACATAAATATATATAAATCAAACATTTGTATCCAAATGTTTGGATATAAATATATCCAAATCCAGACTTTCTTTTTCTTAAAGATTGTATTTATTTATTTGACAGAGAGAGAGAGAGAGATATCCCAAGTAGGCAGAGAGGCAGGCAGAAGGGGGTGGGGGCGGGAACAGGCTTCCTGGGGAGCAGGGATCCCAATGCAGGGCTCGATCCCAGGACCCTGAGATCATGACCTGAGCCAAAGGCAGAGGCTTAACCCACTGAGCCACCCAGGTGCCCCGACCACCAGACTTTCTGCTGGAAAACTGAAGATAAGGAATTTTTTTTTTAAGATTTGTTTATTTATTTTAGAGAGAGAGCGAGCAAGGGGAGAGGTAGAGAGAGGCAGAGAGAGAGAATCTCAAACAGATGCCCTGCTGAGCGCAGACCCAAACACCAGGTTCAGTCCCACAACCATGAGATCATGACCTGAGCCAACACCAAATGTCAGATATTTAACACACTGTGCCACCCTGGTGCCCCTGCAGATATGTTTTTCTTCAGAGTCACATGAAGGTGTCATAGGGGAGACTTAGAGAAAAAATAAAGAATAAGAGTAATATGCTAAAACAAAGTTTAAGAAATCTATAGCTTTTATAACCCTTCCCCAAAAAAGTCACAGAAGGTTGATCAGAGTCTGTCAAAAGAACAGTGGGTTAAGGATGATTAAAAAAAAAAAAAAATTCCAGCATAAAATGCTGCATGGACAAGGATGCAGAGGCAAATATCTTGTCTGGTGCACAGATATTTGACAGATGTCTTTTGAGTGATCATTGCATCTATAAAGAAAAAGACATTATTTTATTCATGCATCAAATATGTGTTAAACACCTATAATCCATTAGGCTTTGTTCTAGGCTCTGGGGATGAAGTACCTGCTCTCACAGACTTTATATGACTTTATTAGATGCCACAAGGCCCATACAATCAGTATACTAGGAATCCAGAAAAAGAATAGTTAATTCAGGACAGAGTTGCCTCCGGGAAGAATTCAGGAAGAGGCAGCCCTGTCATAAGTCCTCCTGCCTCGCTCGAGCTGCTGGACCAACCTCATACTCCTCTTATTTGAAACAAGACGAACTGACCAACTGAACTGGAGGAGTCTGTCCACCGTGGCCTGAGAACAGAAGGCAACTTGTTGGGGGTGTTGCTGCCCTTTTCCCCCCATGTCTCTGATTTATTAGGCTCCTACAGGAAACAGAATCCAACTCCAATGCACACATGAAGAGATTTTAACTAAAAGGTCATGGATGACGTACAGTGGTGAAGAAGAGTCACAAGAACCCAACACGATGTGGAGGGCATCCGAGGGCAGCTTCGGCAGCTATGACCTGCCGAGGCCTTAAGGGACAAAATGAAATGGTGTCACACAGAGAATAACCCTGGGCGTTGGAACCGTGGAGGTGGGGCCTCTTGACAGGAGGTGTAACCACAGAGGGTCCAGCATCGCCAGAAGTGGGCCCCAAGCAGGAAGGGAATGAAGATGGACATCTTGACTTCTCTCTTCCGCCTTCTGATCTCTTGCTTATGTCTCCACATCCAACCAGAAGCCAACCTGAAAGCGTCCTAGTGACACAGCCTTTGGGAGTCAGCCTTCTGGGGCAGGCCAGAGGGGGAAAGAATGCAAAATAACCAGTGTATTCTTTTTTTTTTTTAGCTTTTTATTTATTTATTTGACACAGAGAGATCACAAGTTGTCAGAGAGGCAGGCAGAGAGCTAGAGAGAGAGAGGGAAGCAGGCTCCCCGCTGAGCAGAGAGCCTGATGCGGGGCTCGATCCCAGGATTATGGGATCATGACCCAAGCCGAAGGCAGCGGCTCAACCCACTGAGCCACCCAGGTGCCCCTAACCAGTGTATTCTTGATGATCTGATTTACCAAGTCCCCCAAGCCTCCTGATTTCAATCGTAGCTACTCTTAGACATGGAAAGGGATGAACCACATGAACTACTTCATCAAACTAAAAGACCCCAGTCCATTCAGTAAGAGAAAGGACTCTTATTTTAATAGGACAGGTTTGTTTTCTGTTCCTTGTATTTCTCTCAAATGGCAGTGATCTCCAGGCAGAGGACCTCTGCAATTCCACTGATATGAAATCTTTGACAGGAGGACACTACACATCCAACAGTACAAAGCTAATTGCAACCCCATCCCTTGGAACTGAAGGCTTTGGATGCAGCCTCATGTCTGAATTTTGCTCATGCTAACAAAATACCCTCATGAACCCTCTTCCCATTTCCTTTCAATTCAACTCACCTGTAAGGATTTCCCTTTCAGTATTTGTGGCTACTCTCCATTGTTCACCCTTAAAAGCTGAGTAGTTTCTGGTCTTTGATACTACATTATGCAGCCAAGCTAGTCCATGTCTCCTGGGGCCCAATCAGCTTTTTTCCAACAGTTAGGCTGCTTGACCCTAAACTTAATGCATTTTTTGATTAATGCAATATTTTTTTTTAAAAAAGCAAACTCAAAAATTGGTTTTAAATTGGTTTTAAAATATTGAACAAGCTTTAGGTTGAGAGTGCTGGGAGTTTGGGAAATCGTGACAGAAGATCAATCTATCCCAGGCTAATGAGAGTCCAGTCCCATTTGCTTCCCCTTGCTCCTGCCTGGTTGCTCTCCTCTCCATGCTCTGTTTCCTTTCATATATTCCCTCTGGAGGCTTTCTAATAAGTAAACACTTGCTCTTGCAAACCACATAAATTGATTCATTTTCCCAGTGGTTTCAAGGAGTAGATGTTACTCTCCCTATCCAACGGGAAGGCAAACTGAGACTTCTGGATTTTTAATGGCATTGTCCAAAGCCACAAAGGAAATCATTTCCAGTGGCAGTACCCGATTAAAGTAGTTTGGGGACAGTGGCTGCTCTCTCTGAGTAATAAATCTATAGTGTCTAAAGGGAGTGTGCCCATCCCTACCTGCCAACCTCCTACTCAACCTTCAAGACTCAGATCATATGTCATTTCCTGCATGAAGCCATCTGCCCACCCCCACTACCTCCTTGAAGCTCTCAGACACCTGTATATGCTTCTGTTCTACATCCATTACACTGAAATATTGCTTCCCTGTCTCCTCACTTTTGTCTTTATAACCCCCAGTGCCTAGGATGCCTAGGACATAGTAGGTACTCATTAAGTGCTTTCTGAAAGAAGACAACTCTTTCCTTCATCCCCAAACCTCCCTTCTCACTATGAAGCCAGGGAAGCAATCTCCAAGAATGGTGGAGAGGAGTCATCCAAGATGGTGACATAGGAGGCTCCTGAGCTTCCTGCCCTCACAGATGCACCAAACCTACAGCTACACATGGGGCAGTGCCCTCCGAAAGAGATCCAGAAATTAGCTGAGTGATTCCTACATACTGGATGAATGAGAAAATACCCACATCAAAATGGGTAGGAAAGGTTGAGACACACTCTTACCATAAACACCACTCCTG